ATGTGCTCATTAGAAAAGATAGACATTCAGGGCCGGCCCAGTGGCACAGCAGTTAAGTTCACACGTTCTGCTTCGGTGGCCTGGGGTTCACCAGTTCGGATCCCACGTGCGGACCTACACACTGCTTGTCAAGCCATGCTGTTGCAGGTGTCCTACATGTAAAGTAGAGGGACATGGGCACAGATGATAGCTCAGGGCCAATCTTCCTCAGAAAAGAGAGGAGGATTGGTGGCAGATGTTAGCTCAGGGCTAATCTTCCTCAAAAAAAAAAAAAAAGATATACTTTCAATATAAGAACAGAATGGAGAAGATAGAAAAAGACACACCAACCAAGAAAATGAGAGTGGCTACATGATTATTGGACAAAGTGAACCTTAGGACAAAAAATATTACCAGAAATAGAGACACTGCATAATAAAAAAGGGTAAATTTATCAGGAATATGTAACATTCCTAAATTTGTATAGAGCTAATAGTTGCTTCAAAACATAAAACAAGAATAACTAGACAAACACAGAGTCATAGTTGGAGATTTTAACATACCTCTCTCAGTAACTGATAGAAGCAGGAATTTAAAAGTCAGAATACAGAAGATGTAGCCAAAATAATTAACACACTTGGCCTGATTTACATATGTAGAGCATTACACCCAACAAAGCCAACTACAGTTCTTTCCAGGTGTATGTGGAATGCTTACCAAAAAGAGAAAATTGTGGGTCATAAATCAAGTCACAACATAGTCCAAAGAACTGCAATCATTGAATTTATGTTCTCTGACCACAGTGAAATTAAACCACAACACAGTAACAGAAAGATATCAAATTCCCAACACACTTTTAAGCGATCCACAAAGAAAAAAAGCACAATGGAAATTAGAAAATATTTTGAACTGAGTGAAAACGAAAATACAACTTGTTAAAAATTATGGAATGCAGCTAGAGCAGGGATTAAGGGAAATTTTATAGCTCTGAATGCATATATTAGAAGTGAAGAAAGGTTAAAATCCAGTGATCCAAGTGCCCATCTCAAGAAGGCAGAAAAACAACCACAAATTAGACTCAAAGGAAATGGAAGGAAATAATAAAAGAGCAGAAAATCAATGAAATAGAAAGCAGAGAAAAATCAACAATGCCAAGAGCTAGTTCTTTTAAGTAGTAATAAAACGGATAAAGCCCTAGCATGACTGATAAGAAAAAACAGAAATTGCTAATATCACTAATGAAAAGGGGGCCATCACCATAGATTCCAAGATATAAAGACTAACAAGAGGATACTATGAACACTTTATGTGAATAAATTTGATAATTTAGATGAAATGCATAAAATACTTGAAAAACACAACTTACCAAAACTGACACAAGAAGAGACAAGAAAACCTGAATAGCTCTGTATCCATTAAACAAATTGTAATTAAAAATCTTTTCACAAAGAACATTACAGGCCCAGATGACTTCACTGGTGAATTCTTCCAAACATCTAATAAAGATATACCAATTTTACATACACTCAGGAAATGAAAAGAGGGAATGTTTCCCAACTCATTTTATGACACCAAAACCTGAGAAAGATAAGGCAAGAAAGAAAATTTACAGACCACTATCACTTAGGAACACAGAGGCAAAAATCCTGAAAAAATATTAAATTGAAGTCAGGATAATATATCATAACCAAGTGGAATTTTTATTACAGGAATACAAGATTGGTTGACCTTAAAAAAAAAAAGTAACTTGCCATAATAGAATAACAGAGAAAAACCATATGACCATCTCAATAGAAGCAGAAAAATCATATGACAAAATTCAGTACCCCCTCATGATTAAAAAACACTCAGCAAACTAGGAATGGGGATTTCTTCTATCTGATGAAGGTGTACATCCAAAAAACTACAGCTACCGTTATATTTGATGAAATACTGAATGCTGTCCCCACTAAGGTTGGCGTCAAGGCAAGGGTGTTCACTCTTACCACTGCAATTCAACACTGTACAAGAGGTCCTGCCCGGTGCATTAAGGCAATGAAAGGAGTAAAGGATAGAAAAATTGGAAAATAAATAAAAACTGTCCCTGTTCACAGATGATATGATTGTGTATGTAGAAAATCCTAGGGGATCTTAAGAAAAAAAGTTTAGAATTGGTAAGTCAGTTTGACAAATCTCAAGTACAAAGTCAGTATATGAAAAATCTATTGTATTCCTGTATATTTACAACAATTAATTGGAAAAACAAATTTAAACACCAGTTGTGGGTTGAATTGTGTCTCCTCAAAAGATATGTTGGCCAAAAAGATGTTGAAGTCCTAACCCCTAGAACCTGTGAATGTGACCTCATTTGGAAACAGGGTTTTTGCGGATGTAATCTAAGATGATGTCATGCTGGATTAGGGTGGGCCCTAAATCCATGACTGGTGTCCTTATAAGAAAAAGAGGAGAGAAACAGACACCTGGGGAGAACACCGTGTGAAGATGGAGGCAGAGACTAGAGTGATGCACGGACTGCCCACGACAACCAGAAGCTAGGAGTGAGGCGTGGGACAGATGTTTCCCGACAGCCTCTGACCAGAAGCTAGGAGTGAGGTGTGGGACAGATGTTTCCCGACAGCCTCTGGAAGGAACCAGTCCTGCTGACACATGGATTTTGGATTTATATCTTCCAGAACTGTGAGAGGATAAATTTCTGTTGTTATGAGTCACCAAGTTTGTGGCACTTTGTTATGGGAGCCCCAGGAAACTAATGTATAACTCCACTTAGGACAATGTCAATAACAAAATGCTTAAAAAAATCAATTTATCACAAGTATGCTAAACCTCTACAATAAAAACTGCAAAATATTGCTGAGAGAAACTCAAGAACGTATAAATAAATGAAGAGATTTCATGTTCAGAGACTGGGAACCCAGTAGTCTTAAGATGTCATTGCTTCCCAAATTGATCTATAGGCTCAATACAATCTCAATCAGAATCCCAGCAGGTTTGTGACAGGCTGCTTTTAAAATTAGTATTGTTTGTTCCCCACTTTTCTAGGACTTGTTACGTCTATGTTAGAATGCCTGATGTTGTCCCACAGGTCACTTTTCTCCAGTCTTTTCTCTCAGGGCTTCATTTTTGGTAGCTTCTCTTTATATGCCATCAAGTTCATGGATATTTCCTTCTGAAGTTTCTAATCTGCTGTTAATTCTATCCAGGGTAGTTTTCATTTTAGATACTGCCTATTTTTTTCTTTAGAAGTTTCATTTGGGTTTTTAAAAATATCTTTCAGTTCTTCATCTTGTTCATGGTTTCCTTTATATCTTTGAGCATATCTGTGAGATTCTTTTTTTTTTTTGAGGAAGATTAGCCCTGAGCTAACATCTGCTGCCAATCCTCCTCTTTTTGCTGAGGAAGACTGGCCCTGAGCTCACATCCGTGCCCATCTTCCTCTAGTTTATATGTGGGACGCCCACCACAGCATGGCTTGACAAGCGGTGCCATGTCCGCACCTGGGATCCAAACTGGTGAACCCTGGGCCACCGAAGTGGAAGGTATGCACTTAACCGCTGCGCCACCAGGTCAGCCCCATCTGAGATTTATAATAGCCATTTTAAGGTTCTTGTCTGCAAATTTGCCATCTGTCATTTTTGGGTCTGTTTCTAGTGTTTGATATTTCTCCTATGGTTTATATTTTTTCTTCCTGGCATGGCCTGGTAATTTTTGCTTGGTTCCCAACATTATGAATTTTATTTTGTTTAGTGCAGGATATTTCTGTATTCCTTTAAGAATGTTGGGCTTGGTTTGAGCTTTTAGATTTTATTCTAGGGCTAATTTAGCCCCACTGCTAAGGTGTTATCCTTCTGAGGATTCGACACCAATGCCGATGTATTACAAGGTCTCTCCGCCTTGGCTGGTGGAAACACACTGCTTTCTGGTGATTTCCCCCTGAATTTATGGGATTTTATACCACACACACAGATAAGTAGATTTGAGGGGATTCTCTGCAGATCTCCGGAGCTCTGTGTAGCCCCCTCCTGTCTGGAACTCTGCCCCACAAATTCCAGATACCTCAGCCTCCCCAAATCCCAATCTGTGCTTCCTCCACTCAGCAATCCTACTGGGCTCTGCAGGTCTCCCTTCCCAGTGCTGGGGCCTGGAAACTGTCTCCAGGCAGGAAGGTGGGTGCTCGCAGGCTTGTTTCCTGCCCTTCGCTAAGGAAACACTGCCATGTGCTGCCTCTATCTCAACATCCAAACACATTGTTAAAAAAGTTTCTTCAGTTAGGGGCTGGCCCGGTGACGTAGTGGTTAAGTTTGCACGTTCTGCTTCAGCGGCCCAGGGTTCACAGGTTCAGATCCCAGGCGCGGACCTCCACAGCACTCATCAACCACGCTGTGGCAGCATCCCACATACAAACTGGAGCAAGACTGGCACACGTTAGCTCAGCGAAAGTCTTCCTCAAGCAAAAAGAGCAAGATTGGCCACAGATGGTAGCTCAGGGCCAATCTTCCTCACACACACACAACGTAAATAAAAAACGTCCTCAGTTTTACAATTGTGTGTGGCAAGAGGACAGTTTCCGTAGAGCTCCTCCTTCCCGGGCGCCACTGTTCAGTTCAGCAATGCGCGTGTGAGCTGTGCATTAGCACACGGCACATGTTTATTACTCCTTCAACCAACAGTTCTCCAGGGAAAACACCCGGAGGGCTCCCAGGACAGTCGGCTCCTGACACACTCAGCTCTACACACGTTTTGCTTCGAGAGTAAGTTCTTAACAGTCCAGGACTGTCTGAAATTTATTTGAGCAGTGTGAACGTCCCACCCCTTGGAGAGCTACTTATTCTTACGTTTTACAGTGGCTCCAAACCAGACACTGATTGCTTGTGATTGCAAAGTTGAAGAACCAGAACTCAAGTTACTTCAGTTCTGCGTGATGACTTAGAGGTTTTGTGTTTAAAAGAGTGAAACAGTGTGAACTGTGGGTAAGTTTTTTCTTCTCTTTTAAAAAAAATATTAATGGAATTAAGAAGTATTAATCCTTTCTGGTACCATATTTATTTGGATTTTTTAGTGGCATGAGTATGTAGGCAAAGTGCAATAAAGGCACACTTTCCTGTCAGTGCTTCCTTCCTAGCTATTGTTATTTTATTTCATGGCCTGATTACTGTTGTGTGAAGGAGGTGATACTCAAACGTGATTTGCTGGAGGCTCCCCGGGGACTGATCCCCAGGTGGGGGAGTGACCTCATCAGGAATCTCAGGGGGCTCCCCTCCCAGGTCTAGGCCCCTGAGGAGACACTGGCACTGGAGCCAGACATCCTGCAGGCACACTCGTACCTTGATTTCCCCATCTGTAAATATAGTGACTGGGGCACAGTAACAAGGCACCAGGCCGTCTGGTGCTGTGCTCAAGGCCTGGGCCCACCTCCATGAACGTGAGGGGGCTGGCCTCAGGAAGCCCCCTCACCCCCCTCCCTCCTCTACCCCTTGTTGACTTGGTCCTGAGCCTCCCAGGCCCAGAATCCATCCTCTTTTTTGTTCCTGAGAACTGGGAATGGTAAGGCGATGCTCCCATGAGGAAAGATCCAGAGGAACATTAGGGTTGGGTCCTGCAGGATGGGTGGTTTCCAGGAAAATAGGGGAAGAGCATTCCCAGCAAGGAGAAAGGTCAGGACGCCTGAGGGGCAGAAGTGCGCAGATGTGGAACAAGGTGTAGGTAGCAGGCCTGTGTGCTGGATGGAGCAGGGGTGTGGAAGGCAGCAGGTGGGCCACCTCAGGAGCAGGGTGTGCGTATGGGGGGTGGGTGCCCATTGTTGTGGCACCCAGAGTACCCCTTACCACTCATGGCCCTGACAGGCCCTGCTCATGTCACAGATGGGACCCTCAGCAGCTGTCGTGGCTCCATAGGACAGACAAGGAAGCTGAGGCCCAGAGGTGGGACTGGCCCCCAGCACAGCCTCAACACTATCCACGGGGAGAACTGGGCTGGGCAGGACCAGTCTACGGGGCCTAGGTGGGCAGCTCCCCCAAAGGACAAGACCAGGCCTATGTGAGAGCAGACCCCACCCTGGACCCTTCCCAAGCATTTGTTGCCCTGGCCCAGACTGCCCAGTGGGTCCAGTGCCAGGCCAGCCCTGGCCCTCACCATCCCTGGCTCAGCCAGAAGGGGACGAGGCCCAGCCCTGGGCTTGGAGTCCCAGGGAACCGCATCAGGGTCTCTGCCCCTCTTGAGGACACTGCTCCTGCCATGGTCATGGCCCAGCCTGTTTCTCCCCCTTCGCTGGATCGTCCCACGAGCAAAGGGATGGGTGTTCTTCCACCTAGAAAAAACAAACAGGCTGGCCAGCCACTCGACCCCACACTCCTCTGGCTACTACCCGATTCCTTGTCCCCCAGACCTGCTGTTCCCACCCTCTCTCTCTTGAGAACCAGCTTCCAGTGGGCTCTGGTCAAGGTCACCTCAGTGTTGGAGCCCTGAGGCCAGTCCCTGGGCTTTGTCTTGACCACAGCAGCCCTGCCCAGAGACCTTCGGGCTGCCCTCATCCTCCCCCACCCTTGATGCCTGGTTCTGGGGCTCAGACCCCTGTCCTGTCTACACTCACTCCTGGGTGGCCTCAGGCTCATAAGGCCTTCTGTCAAGGAGCAGCAATCCCAAATGCCAGACATTTCACCCAGTGTCTGATGGGCACCTCAGTCTTGATGCCCCTCCAGGGTGGACAGCCCCATCCTCCCCAGCGCTCAGTCTCGGAGTCCTGGCCTCCTCTTTCATTCTCTTACCTGCATCTCGTCTGGGAAGTCCTGTGGATCCAACCATCGGAGAACTTCCAGAGGCCGGCCCTTCTCACCCTCTCCCTGGCTGAGCGCAGGGCCAGACCTCGTCTCCACATTGAAATGGGGCCCTCACCGCTCCCCCTTCACTCAGGGATGGGCCGTATCCTTATGCTGTGCACCAAGAAGCTGGGAGGAGGGGAGCTATGGCATATTCTGGGAAGTGAGTGGAAGCTGGACTGCAACCAGGAGGCAGCTCCATGTGAGCTTTCTCTGCCTAAAGAGATCTCAGAAGAGAGGAACCAAGCTGGGATTCCTTTTCTCATTTTAAATACTATTCACATTGTTCCTAATTTATATCCATTTTATGGGGCTGCCCCATGGCGGAGTGGTTAACTTCGCGCGCTCTGCTGTGGCAGCCCAGGGTTTTGCTGGTTTGGATCCTGGGCGCGGACATAGCATCACTTGTCAGGCCATGTTGAGGCGGCGTCCCACATGCCACAACTAGAAGGACCCACAACTAAAATATACAACTGTGTACTGGGGGGATTTGGTGAGAAAAAGCACGAAAAGAAAAAAAAAAAAAGATTGGCAACAGCTGTTAGCTCAGGTGCCAATCTTTAAAAAACGAAAAAATAAAAAAAACCCTGGATGGGGGCTGGCCCCGTGGCCGAGTGGTTAAGTTTGCGTGCTCCGCTGCAGGCGGCCCAGTGTTTCATTGGTTCGAATCCTGGGCGCAGACATGGCACTGCTCATCAAACCACACTGGGGCAGCATCCCACATGCCACAACTAGAAGGACCCACAACGAAGAATATACAACTATGTATCGGGGGGCTTTGGGGAGAGAAAGGAAAAAAAAATCACCCCTGGATGGGCACCAGCCTCCAAGGCCAATGGACTTGCACCCTGCTGACCCCCATCCCCTCTTTGCTCTGCCTCCAGGAGAGCAATGTTCCCTTCTCTGGGGCCTTCCATGCCCCACCCTGCTGTTTCTTGTTAGCATTTACCACCACTTCTCACAGCAAACCCTCTGAGGGTCTGGCTGGGTTCTCTCCTGGGGCCTGGGCTTGCTTGGTGCATGGAAGGCCCTGGGCAACCACTGCATGGAGGGCAGTGAGGGCACCAGGACCCCTAAGCTGCTGCCTGGGGTGATCTGGGAGATGCTCTGGGGGTGGTGGTCCAGATTCCTCTTGGGGGGCACAGTCCCCTGCTCACCTCCCCCACCCACCATGCTCCCCATCGCTCCCAGCAGAAAGCAACCAGACAAGGTCTTCTGCTGTACTAATGTATTCCATCTTTCAAAAAGAAAGACATGATTTTAATATTACTTAACAATATGTTAAAAAAGTAGCCAGGCAGGCCTCCGTGTTAATACAGTCGTACACTCTCTAACAGACTTGATGGTGTGAGTACTGGGTGGGTTTTTGTTTTTGGACTTTCTCATTCTGGAAGGGATCTTACACAAGCTGGCTACAAGTCAGGGGGATCAGACACAAACAGCGCAACGTGTACACTCTTAAACAGTAGATTGTGGAGGAGAACGGAAGAGTGCCTGCCCCGCCCAGCCCGCCTCTGGGGGGACGTGGGGCACAGAGAGCTGAGTGACAGCGACGCCCCAGCAGGGACAGATGACAGGACAAGGCGAGATGCAGAGGCAACGGAGCCATGTGGATGATGCAAACTCGTCTCTGGCCGCAGCCCCGGCCTCTGAGGCCGCAGAGGTGGAAGAACTGGCGGGAGCTACTGTTCCAATCCGACAGCACAGAGCTACGATCAAGGAAGTCTCACTCACAGACTACACGCACACGAGCTAACGACGCGGGTCGAGCAGCAAGTTCTCGGTCTAGGGGTCTCAGGTGCAGCGGCCCACCCAGCACAACCCTGGGCAAGCATGGCAGCTCCAGGGCCTAGCCCACCTCCCGCGTGTCCCTCTCCAGGCGGTCCTCATTCAGTGGGCAGCAAAGGTGGCTTTTTTCAAGCTAAAATTGGACCAGTTGATGGACAGTCTTTGTCGGGTCTGTCTAGCAGAATCCAAGCAGAATCTGTGAAGACAAAAAGCCCAACAGTCATGGAAGGAAATAGCCCCACCCGAGCTAGTATCGCAAGGCCCGGCATCCTCCTGGGGGCTCCGTGCGGGAGACTCGGTGCCACACTTCAGAAAGGGAAGGGCCCTCGAGAGGAAGGGGGGTGTCCCATCTTCAGGACACTGGCCAGCACCCTGAATGTTCTCTTGTGTTTTGTGCTATTCTCTCTCAACTTGTTCTTCATGGAAGCTGCCCAAGGGACGTTTCTGAGAAGCCCACCTGAGAATCTGAAGCCTGGTCGTCCCAGCCAGGCTCTGCCAATGGCCACCATATTGCCCTTCTTAACATGTTAAGCCATGGACAATCCCAGCTTATCCTCATTTATCCATGAATTCACAAGTGAGTGTGACTTGAAACACATATTTTTATGTTGAGACCTGGTTACTGCCCACCCCGCCCCACCTCCCTGCCCTCAGGGGCACATCAAGTGCACAGAATGCCCACAGGCCTCCAAGGCAAGCCACCAGCCCCCAGTCCCCCTGTCCAGCTCTGAATCACAAACTGCCTGCTAAAACCATGTGAAAACGACACTTTGCCACCTGCTTCCCAGGCAACAATGGCCGATTTTTACATTAAATGAAGGAAAGAATACTTTCTTCCAAAGACTTTGCACAATTTCTGAAGTTCTCACCTTTCCAGCTCTAATTTGGGTAGCAGAAACTTGAATTAAAGCTGAAACCGGTTGTTGCTGTCACTCATCGAAATTTCAAGTGTGCTCACTTAAACTGTGGTTAAATCCTTCAACCACAACCGTTTGTGCTGCTGGCCTGACAGCCTCTGTCCAGGGGGAGGGAGTCCTCCCTGTCCCCCAGGGAGGGGCTGTGTCATTTCTCAGAATCCAAATTCTCTTTCCCTGGCCACAGCTTGGGGTCAAACTCCAAGTCCTAGTGATGTCAGCTTTTAAACATTCTGGAAGCTTCCACTTCTGCCTCTGTCTCCCCTTAACTCTGGCAACAACTCCCCAACCATCTCCTTTAGTGTATGTGTGCTCCCCTACTCCCTTCCTACATAGCAGCTAGAATGCTCACAAGCATCAGTCACGGTCATGCTCCAGGAAGCTCAACGAGAAACTCAACCCAAACCAAAGCAAGGCTTCCCATGGGCTCCCTGGGGCCCCAGGCCCACCGTGACATGGCTTTGTCACCTCCCCACAACCCCGGCTCCTCTTCGCCCAGGCTCCACACCCTAACCACCACCCCATCAGGTCTCTGTGCTGTCAGCTGTGGAATGTCATATGTACATACATGCACACAGAACACGTGTACAGGGGTAACTACAATGCAAAAGCCAAAGTAACCACCCCCCAGGTCAAGAAACCCAACACAAGGTACCAACCCCGGGGGCACCCAGAAGGCAGCCACCGTGCCAGGGTTTGTAATAATTAGTGCCCAGAGTTCTTTGTAGCTTCACGACTTCTACAGGCATCCTCAACGGTAGTTTGGTTGTGCCGATTTCTGAACTTAAAGGAAGAGAATCGAATTTTACGTACTTTTTTCTTATTGCTTCTTTGACTTAAGGTCATATTTCTGCGATTCCTTCAAGAGGCCATAGTTTTTCTTCAGTTTTGTGCCTCTAAGAATATACCACACTGAATGGACAAGTGGACAATGCTGCTCACATGGTTCTGCCCGGGCTGGGCACGTGTGCACAGGTGTGGGACTGTTTGTTGGGTTACTTGAGACATACAACTTCAACTTCACTAGATTCTGCCAAACTTTTTCCCAAAGTGGTGTGAAAGCATCTGTGCTCTGAGGAGCGGTGTAGAGAACCGCCACTCCACGCCTTGCCTGCTCCCTGGTTCTAGTCAGGCTGAAGACCTCCCCAGTTTACTGGTCACGGGTTTTCTGTGACATCTGATTGTTTTGTTTGCCCATTTGTCAACAGGTTTGTCTTGTTCTCACTGTTCTGTAATGTTTCTTTATACATCTTGATACTAATCCTTTGTGATGTGCTGCAAATACCATCTTCTCACTTTCTTTAAAACAAATTGTTGATTTTAATGGAGTTTAATTTACCAATCTTTTATTTAATGGTTGACATTTTCAAGAAATCTTTCCCTACTCCAAGGTCAAAAACATATTCACCTATATTCCAAGTTAAAAGGTTTGCTTTTGACATTTAAAATCATAACCCATCTGGAGCTGACCTTTGAGGAGGGTGTGAGGTAGGGATCCAATTTCAAAGCTTTTCTCATATACATAACAAACATTCACAGCTCCATTTAGGAACATGTCTTCATTTCCACAGTGATCTGCCAATTCATCTTTTGTCAAACCAAAGCTCCGTGTTTGTACAAGTCTGTTCCTGGATGCCATATTCTGCACCAATATCACGATGTTTTAATAACGGTGGCTTTCTAAGTCTTTTTATAATGAGCAGGAAAAGGAGCCCTCCTTGTTCTTCATATCCTTGTGGGAGGATCTTACCAATCCTTTACAACTTTTTTTTTTTTTTGGTAAATATAACACATACAGAAGGGTGAATGAAACAAACGTATAATATAAAGAGTAATTATAAAGCAAATACTGTGGATCACCAGATGAAGCCATGGGCCACTGCCAGCACCAAGTGGCCCCTGCCCAGAGCTTCCCTCCTCTCCTCAAGAGTTACTACCACTCTGGCTTCTGATGTTGGTAATTTCCTTGCTTTTCTTTATAGTTATATGACCTAGGTATGTATCCCTGAACAATGTATTTAACTTCTGAAAATATACTTTTATTGAGGTATAATTTATGCGCAATAACTTGCACACTTAGTGTAGAGCTCACAATGCTGAGAAATATATCTACATACAGGTAACCATCACCTCAATCAAGACACAGAACATTTCCATGAAACCCCCAAATTTCCTTGTGCCCCTTTGCTGTCATCTCCCTGCCACCCTGGCTCTAGGCAAACAATGATTTATAGATGAATTTGTATTTTCTGGAATTTCATGTAAATAGAACCTCACAGTATATGCATTTTGTGTCTGGCTTCTGCACTAAGTATGCCACTTTTGAGATCCATCTAAGGTGCTGTATAGTGTGCTTTTCATTGCTGAGAAGTGTCCTCTGGATGGAGAGAGAACAGTTTATCTGATTATCTGCTGTGGACACCTGGGTTGTTCCCAGTTTGGGGCTATTATAAATAAAACTTCTAGGAACATTCATGCACGTGCGAGTCTTTGTGGGGGCATGTGCTCTCATTTCTCATGGGCAGACATCCAGGAGAGGAGCTTCTGGATTGAACGGTAGGTATGTTAAACAATGTACTGTAGTTTTGCCTAATTTGAACTTCATCTAAATGGACACTATGTGTATCCTTGTGTTTCCTG